TGTAATACCACCTTCAATATTGTCTAGAAATTTCTTCATTTCGATAATATCAGAACTTAAAATTGAAATCAATTGTTCATTTGTAATAGATCGGGCCAAATTTAAATGAATCGAATAATTATCAAAGTCTTTTATAATCTTCTCAAACGTTTCTTTAATGTTCTCACTTGAGACAAATTTTTTAAATTTCGATAATTGGGAAATATCACTAGAAAATTCTTTAATTTGTTTTAGGCAATTTGTCAATTTAGAAAAGGCATTATAATAATTCTGATTACAAAACTTATACAAGTTATCCTCCCTTTGTCTTATCAACCCTCTAATTGTAACTTCTACAGCCTCAACTCTCGTGACTAATGCCCCGCAAGTTTTTTTGTTATATTGAACATTCTCATATGCATCCGCTATGTCTTTTGTTAATTTCGTTATAGTAGTTACGAGAGGCATGAAAGGTGCAATTATATCGTTTATGCATTTCATCATTCGATCCTTAATTGACCTAGAATCTGGATCGGGATTAATAAAAGAAGATAGAAAATTTAACGTATTTCAAGAAAAGTTAAAAATAAATTTATAAGTTTACATACCATCAAGTGGTAAAGTATGTCCAAATAATTCCAAAGGATATTCTATCTTCACATGATCAATCTTTAAACTTCCGTAACCTGAACGTAATATACAAATATCTAAATCTATATCGACGGTTGTGTCGTTATCTTCCTCATGTTGAGAGTCAGAGTCACTATCGGAAATTATATTTGAATTTGAACTTTTCAAAATTTGATTATTATTATACATTGATTCATTTATTTGAAACGTGATATAATTCTTTGACCATTTTAATAGCTTAATATCAAAAGTTGTTGATGGATGGTATGCATTAACGAGGATACTACATCCATGAGATAAAGGAAAACGAGTTTCAACATCATACATAGATTTGTATGGTTGATAATTAATGGATTTTTTAATACGTTCGACTTGAATTTCTCGATTATTTGGGCTAAAAACCGATAATTTCAAAGGATTCCCGACTATCATCCATAAAATAAAACAATCTCTAACATCGATCTTTGATTTTCGTGAAGTTCTTATCATTGCGGAAAATCCATTGGCGTCATAGAATCTAAATTTTACTAAATAATCATCTATCTTTTTGCCTCCTGAAACTATTGATCCAAATACTTTATAATCTTTATCATTCAATATCGGTTCTATATTTATACGTTTGTAGTGTTCGGTATTGTTACCGTCTAAATCTTTCAAATCAGAAATTCCGGTCATTATAATTTTGTCAATTTCCTTATTTAATAGAATATCTATCTCTTTCTGTCGCTCAGCGCAAAGAATTTTGTGTAAGGAAATTGTTTGATCAAGTTCAATAATTTCAAGTTTGGTATGGATATCTTGAATCCAACTAGATAATTCGCCATCGGTATCGATAATATCACCACCTTGCGTCAACAGGTATGAAACATTTACATTTAAACGTGAGTTTAAATTGTCAAATGTTAATGATCCTAGATCAACATTTTCAGTATTGTTAAAAGAAATATCGGGTAAAATATTCTTGAGTGATCTTCCCAAGACAATCCTTTGTGGAAATAAATGTCCAAATTTGTCAAATGTGTCTTGTAAGGCTTTAAATGGCTCCATGCTATTAAGTGACCTTTCTATATATTGATTAAGGTTTTCTGAGGGAATAATGCAAGCCATAGGTACAATAATTTCATATCGTTCATACTTGACTACCAAATGAATATAATCTTTGTTGTTAAAATTATCAGCTTTAGTATATTTGTTAATAAATGGAGAGGAATTCATATCTGTATCCGAGGAAATATTATTTGTTATCAAAAATTCTTCTAAATTTGTTGTCGGTTTTATCATTTTCATATGACATTTATCAAGCGACTTGATTTCAGGCATCTTTTTGAAATTAACGGCGAATTCCTTGCTAATATCGATTTCAAAGTGCTTGTTAAATATTAACCCTTGACGTAGGTGAAAATCTTTAACCCATCTCGTTAAATTAACGTACACTGCATCACCGACCCACTCTTTAAAGCCTGATTTGTTCTCATAATTATAAACTCCGGGTTGTATTTCCTTGGAAGTTTCCGAGACATCAATTGATTGTCTTAGTTGAGAAACGGGAACGATATCATTATAAGAAACTATATCAAACATATTCTTTTGAAATAGGTTATGCATCCAAATTGTCAAATCTTTCAGAGTTTTTATCTCTAGTCCATTTGAAGTTTCTATCTCTGGAAAATAATCCCATTCAGATACATCGTTTAACGGATTTTCTAATTTATATTTAGCAGAGTTATATATCCATGATAAGAGTGACCGTACTAGATCAATTTGTATTGGACTTGCCGTATTTAAATTCTTGATAAATAATTTACCGCCAACCAAAACTTTCCTTGCAAAGTAATGTCCATATGCTTGTTCGTCGTCACCATTTGTACATTTTGAAAACGTTTTCAACAATTCACCTTTATAAGAGAATTCAGCAATTGGAAAATTAAGACAAACGTCGAAATGTTGTAAATGTGAAAGGTTGATTTCATTGTTGAATGAGAGCAAATTTGTAAGTGACTTTGGATCGTTTACATTAGTGTAAACAATAGGCTCCCCTCTAAAAAATTTTATTTTTAAATCGCCATCAACAAAAATAGCTTCGTTACTTGATCTTATGCTACGTCCATCCAAGAATAAACCATAATTCAACTTGAGTTGTTGAATTATTTGTTGCTCCGTTGTTGCCGCATTAGATGCGGACATTTTTTTTTTTTTTTTTTTTTTTTTTTATAAAAAAAATTGTTTTTGAGAATGAAAAGAAATTGAGAAAATTTTTTTAACATAATTGGAACGATCTACATTTATTAGCCGAAAACATGTGTCAGCTGATTCTCCTAAACAAAAAGTCAATATATCGGACCTTTTTTCGTCTCTCCGGGGGATCGGCAGACCCTCGGGTCAAAATTGGTTTTTTCATTTGTGAATTTGTGTTACGGAAAATGTTTATAAAATAGGAGGAAAATCGTGAACTTTTTTTATTGTATTCTGAAAAAAAGTTGTTTCATCACGAACGGAGTTGAAAATGTTTGGATTCAATTTTCCTATAAAAGAAACTGATGACAATGAAAAGAAAAAGGAAAAAGAGAAGGAAGATGATGACAAGGATAGTGATAAAGAGGATAATGTTAAAGAAGTGATAGTCCATTACCCTGATTCCGAACAACCTGCATTAGTCAATTTGAATCTTAAGGATACATTATCAAAGGTTCGTACGACACTTGAAGAGAATGACAAGATTAAAATGAATGTTATGTTTTTATTTACACGAAAGACTGCGGAAGGAAAATTCGCCGAGATATCACAGGGAAACGAAGATGGATTTGAGTTAAATAGAATTATAGACAAATCGGAAAATAACGGTTCTTTCGATTATACATTACATTTACAATCAAACCTATGCTGGGAGCTTCTGAACAAATTGCATGAGTTGGATTATGGACGTTTCATGACAATTGATGGAATAGTGAGAGCAAAGAATAAAGCTTATGAAATGAAGGATTGTGAATTGAAAGACATTAGTAATGAGTTTGCAAAAGAGAAATTTGAAATTAAAACAGAAAGAGACGAGATGATGCAAAAAAATTTATTTTTCAGTGCCAGTGGGAATGTAAAAGATTTTGTAGAGTTGGGAATATCGAGTGAAAAGTTAAAAAATAAACAAGTCAAATTTGAAACAAATTATTCCTATCATTATATAAAATTTGGAAAAGTGTCTTTGGAATTTAGCAAGTATTTAAAACCAACAACAGAATTTATTGAAGCGGTCGAATTAGCCATAGAATCTAAAGATCCTAAAGAAAGTTTTAAACGAATTATAGCGGATTATGGTCAATTCGTTCCAACTAAAGTCATTTTGGGCGGAAGAGCTTATTTCAAAGAATTATCGGCTATGATAGAAAGCTCACAAGAACGTGCTAATGAAAATGTAGTAAATGCAGAAATTAAAATGATAAAAGGTAAAGCAAGAGAAGGTTTAAAAAGTTTAGATAAAAGATCTACATCGCTTCACCATGAATGTTCCAAATTAATCGGAGGAGATCAACCTGATCGTTTTGAAAATTTTGAAGAGAAAGACTGGACCAAATCACTAAAGCATCATAGCAAATGGAAATGCATAGAGTATCAATACCCAATTGGTATTTTTCAAATTTTATCTTCCACATTACGTAAACGAATAATTTCATCTTTAGGAAAAAGGATTCTTTATTCGAAAATTGAAAACATCGAATATCAGCTGAGGGAAGATCCAGAAGTCATTGATTTAAGTATACCGAAAAATATTTCAGAAATGTTTCGAAACAAGGATGCAGATTGTAACATGTTTGCAACAGTTGTTGATTCGACACAGTCAAGTGGTTTTTTTACCTGTCAAATACTTTGTTCATCAAATGCTGTTCCTAGACTTGTAATTCATTGTACTCAAAGAAGGTTTAAAACGCGTCAATGCAAATTAAAAATTAGATGGATGGTTATTGGTTATGATACAGAATTCAATTATACATTGTTAGATTATAATTATCAATTAAAAATTCTGAAGAATAGCTTTAACGTTAATACGGCAACACAGTTTCATAAAGAATCATTAGATATTGAGTGTGACACAACGGAGGAAAATTTTTTCGTTGGAATTCCTACATTAAGTACACTAGAATCTTCAAATAAGCATCTCATCATAGGACACCATTTTGTAAATACTCAAGGGAATAAAACCAATGCATGTGTATATTCTTATTGCTCAAAGAAAAATAGTTATGACAAGTTGCCTAGCTTTACTTTTTATACACTTGTAATTCCAAATTATAATAACCCAAATACTTACGGTACACTAAAATTTAAAAAATCCCGCTACCGCAAAAAACTACATATTGAACTTTGCAAAGATTCTACCAATCCTTCAAAACCAAAATATGTTAGCTTATATTCCACAGACGAGAGGAATGTTGGTCCAATTTTTCTGAAACAAAATATTTATCGAATTAGAATGAAAAATATTAATTGTAAGAGTAAAGACTGTTTTGTTTGTACAGACAAAAATTTAAAGATTTCAAAAGAAAAAATTGCATGTTATTACTTTGATCCGTACGTAAGGTATTATTTTTGTTGTTGTATTTGTTGTTGTTTTTAGTTCTTTGCAAAACTAATTAAATGAATTTGATTTCTATTAGCGACGAGGTTAATAATTGCGTGTGTTAATTTAAATCTATAGATTAGAATTAAATTAGATGATATATTGCTATAGAGTCATATAAAAAAAATAAGCTTGTATTATACAATTGTCCTATATTTAATATTTTTATTTATTTATATTTTTTTTTTTTCCTTATCAATCAATAAATTTATATATTTTTTATACTATATATTAAACAAAGATTGGATATTACTTTTAGTGTAAATTATTTTGTTTATGAACTAATTTCTAGCACACTCTGCTCTTAAGATCTTCTGATATCATATTATCTGTATTATTGTCTTCAACTCATTCTTTTAATTCTTTTAATATATTCATGAAAACTTTTTTTTTTCAATTAGTCGATCTAATTATTGTGTAAAAGAGACAGACCTACAACTTCCGCGCACAAATTACACTTCCGAATGAACACTTGCTGTATATTTTTTAGTGAGAAAATTCATAAGCGTGATTATAATATTTCCCCCTTTTTTTTGGTCAGATTCCCGCCCCTTTAGTTATGAGCTTTCAGCGATCGGCACCCATGCCGAGTTTGATTCTTGGTTATGACCATGGCAGATATCATTGTAGCAGGCCACGTGATTATAATATCGGTTTCTTTGTAATGTTTCTTTTAAATAAAATTTTAGATTAAAATCAATCAAGTAGGTAAAGTATAAGCGAAATTATTCATATCAAATAATTTCAATATTCACCTCATAATTTATAAATGGATCGTTGAAAATTGGTCTTCTACGTCCAAAATATAATAATTTTTAATCCTTTTTAGAAAAAGTTGGGTACAATCACATACAGAAATCCGATTGTCATCAAATAGGAAAAACATTCTTATTACGAACTGATGAATTTCTTGAATAATATTCAGATAAGTTATAATGATCAGAGTTTCCACTATATGGGTTGATTGCTAGGAAAATCAGGTTCCGGGAATTTTTTAGCAAAATTGAGATTTTTATTGCATTTTAGTTTTTGATGTTATTAGATTAAAATGTATTAAGCTCTTAATTTTAGTCAAAAATTTCTCGGAACCTGATTTTCCTAGAAACACTCCCATATAACACTACTCCCATTAACAGTTCTACCCGTATCAATAATGGACTTTTCTCGCATCTACCTTAAATTTTGAATCTTGGAAGCGAAAGGTCCTTCGTTTCGTTGTCGGTAGCGTTAACGTTATCGAATAAGTCCTTCCGTTTCGTTTGTAAGGAGTGTAGCGTTATCGAAAAAATTATTCTTAAAGTTAATAAAGACTTTTTACGTTCTTCGAAGCCAAAAATTAGCGAAATAGTATTTGGCAGAAATACTTTTTGTTAGTTTCTTTTTAAGCGAAAAAGTAAAGTAAAAGAAATTTCTCAGGTTGGGGCACATTTTTATATATCAACGATGGAATATTTTTAGAACAAAACTTACGTATCATCTGTCTACCTTCCAAATTAGGACAAATATTATTGATTCATATCCTCATATAGTAAATAAACATTGGTTTGGAAATTCTTTTAACAATGACGATCACCACCTGACAAAACGTCATAGATAATATATCGAAAATCTAACATATAATTTCTTATGGTTTATACAGTAGTATGATTTAATTAAGAGGTCAAAAAATATTTTTGCATCTAATTAATACGTAGTTTCTTAATAAGTTAATTTAACTAAGATTGTTAAAGAATAGTTAAAAAATAGTTTATAAATTTAAATCTTAAAAAAATTGGATGATGATGTATAATTAAATCCTTAAATTAATAAATCAACTCAATCAACAAATTAAATCCTCAATAAGACATTTTATATAAACATAATGATTAATAAAGTTTAGTTTTTAATCTATCATTCTCTCGCTCGCTTCTTAATACACTTTATTAAATGAAATTTTTAAAGGATTTCCGTAAAGGTCAATATCAATATTACAAAATAATTACGAGTTATATTTAGTAATGTTCTCATGATTGTAGGTAACGAAACACCCGTACAAAAACTTGCCCGAAAAAGCAGTAAAGGTATGTAGAGAACAATGGTCAATAATCCAATATTAGATGCAATTATTAAATATTCAGTGCCTTTTGCTTTACCCAACGTGCTTCAAAAAAAAAACGTTATCACTACGAATGTGCTTTACCCGTAAAAACATGATGACAATCGATGATCCAGCAATCGTGTACAATGGAATGATCCAGGATTCAACGATGTTTCAGCAATACCTGGCTGTAGAAATGGCGTTGCTGGACAAACACTAATGCGATTATAGCTCATTTTACAGCAAACGAACAAACAATGATCTTGGATAGTGTGAAAAAATCCCCAAAGGTATTAAAGTTTTATTTCTTATATTCACCTATATTCTCCGTTTTCTTTCCCTTTCATATATCCATTTCTTTTTAAATAGGGTTATCATCAGAATGGTATACCGGACGTATGTGTGAGGACAAATTGTGTCTGCACCTTTCGGTTATGCGTTTAATCAAAATCGTAAATGCCCACTGTGTAGTGAAATTAACGTAGAATTCAATATAGTTTTCTTAATTATTTTCTTCTCTATATCACATTTTACTTTTCATTATGTACTACTTCATATGAATTGCTAAGAATAAAGATTTCAGGCCAGATAAATGGTTTATATTTGGCGCAGTAAGCACGTGATGAACACGACGATAAATTATTTTTAAAATTTCACATTAAAAAGCAATTGTTTGACAGTCACAAAAAGCAGCCAACGAGAATAATAACACCAGGAGATATCAAGCAATATGCGCCGAATTAGGAGACGTCAATGGAGGCAATGGATCAGGTGATGTTGGAACGATTTATATGTTCATTAGATATATTGAGTAAGCGAGTTATAGAAAAATGTCATTATACATAACATTATATACTAATACTTTGTATAATTTCTATTTGCTATTTTACATGAAGAAAATTGATCACATTACGGAATGTCACATTACAGTACCCATGACATTCGTGTTTTTGCAAGAAAGCCATGTGTATGCTTTATGCGGGTTGGTGTGTAAATGTTCACCGATTTCACATAAATATTATGTATTAATTTGCCAGAGGGTGGAAAATCCACACCGCTTCGCAATAAATTCATCATATTACCAATGATTAAATCTTTTATTTAATATTCTAGTATAAAGAAGTAATTATGATTTACTAATGGAATTAATAATTTAGATATTCTTTTTATTGAATTTAACAAAATATCTAAACCTTTATTTTTTTTAGGTTTTTTCAGTAAATTTCAATAAGCCTTTATATGACAAAGTTCGGGCACCTGAGCAAGGTTCACCTTGGGGTGGGTGTCAGCAACGACAGCAACGATTCAACCAAGACTTCTCGATAACAGAACAGAAATCCATCAAAAGATTTCTTTTTTTACGTAGTAAAAACACATAATATTTCGGTACTCATCATTCAAATATCTAAAGAATCAACTAATGAAAATAAAGATAAAGTATGACCGTTGAAAGGGATTACTTAAAGAAGTAAAATATTTATACGTTTTAGCTGTTGGAAAACTTGAATAAATACAAAAAAACAATGGATAATTTTTTATTTATTTAATTTAATTTGAAAGATAAATACAAAACGCGTAAATTTCAAAGAAAGTTATCACCAATACATAAAATTACAAAAATCACGTGGGAAAATAAGTGTAAAATAATTAAGTTCTTTTAGCAACAACACATCGATCTTTGTTCGCAACGTCTTTCCAAATTTCTACATGGCTAAAACCACAATTCTTTAAATTATTAACTACATCACTAACTTGGTGGCTTCCACCAATTTCCATAATTAACTGCGGCAAATCACTTTTCGTATCATACAATAACCCTTTATCTTTTGCAAGGTGAGCGATACGTTTATGGAACGCGGTACCACCTTCTTCGGCAACCAAGGCAATTTTATCTTCCCACAATTTAACATCATCTTGCAATGTTTTATATTCTTCGTGAGTAACATAAGGTGGATTAGATAATATTAAATCGAATCCTTTTCCAATTTCCGTCGAATTTTTAATGAATAAATCAAGTTCATCTCGAGTTGCCTTCAAAATATCCAATTTAGAGAATTTTACCGAATTTTTTAATCGATTTTTTGAGTTAAATATGTGATGATTTAATTTAGCCAAGGAGAGTGCATTAGGTGATATATCTATGCCATGTATGTTGCTTGAATTTGTTGGAAGATGATGCGAAAGTGATAATGCGATACACCCTGATCCTGTACATATATCCAAAATTTCGAACTTTGTCATTTCTTTTCGCTGTCGAAGAAATGGTATAAGCATTGAAATGATTTTACTCGTCCATTCTTCTGTTTCCCATCTTGGAATCAACACGGGTGGTTTAGTAATGATTTCCAAATCACAAAATGGTTGCGTACCAAGTATATATTGTAAAGGTTTTGATTTTTCAACTCTTTCATTAATTAATTCGTTTAATAACCTTTTTTCAAAAACATTCAAATTTATTTTCTCAATTAAAGAAATTTCTGATAAGGGTTTCCTTGTTTGTTGTAATACATGCTGTGTGAGCCATTTCAATTCTTGTTTAGCTTGATTAATGTTATTTCCATTTACTGAAACTAATCTTTTAATCATCTGTATCATTGAGATATGAAGCAAAATAAAAAAATAAATCTCTATTTTTTTTAATCATCATAGTTGCGATTATCTTTTGTCATGTGACAATTTATTCGTGAAACGTAAATCGGTAAAGCAAGCTTTCTGGAAAGGTTCAGTGAAAAGGTCGGAAGTCACTCTATGGTCTAAATTTCCGTTGTAAGGGATGAACTTTGAAGACTTTTCACGCCATCAATTAAGAGAGAATCTGTCGCAATATCATGTGATATACATTAAGAAGCTTCACATTATATATTAACTAAAATTTATAGGATTCACAATAATTCTAATTTTTTCGAATACCTATTTATTCCTGATCAAGATTAGTAAATATCCCGATTGAAATACGATTAATAAAATGCGAAGCACTTACTGCGGTAGATATTGATTCGAAAAAAAAGAAAGCATACATGAGCGAAGCGACACAAATTTTTTATTTGCAATACATTGAATAAATACAAAATTTTGGGTCACACCATAATAAATAACATTTCTATGCTAATGACTGCGGTAAATTTCTGCAGTCTTTATTTTTTACTTCGCATTTCGCTTGTCAATGTCTTGTCCGGAGCTTTCTCGCAGCTAGAGAGCTATTAAATCATTATACTCCGTCGAATCCTTTCGACAATTTATATTTTAGACTATCCATCATGCACGTAACGAGTGGAGAGTTATATTATGGATAGCAGCGAAAACATATATAATTTTTATTTTTAGCTGAAACAAAGTCATATATGAATTGTGATGCAATATTATAAAGCTCTACATCAAGAGCGAACTTAACATGAAACAAATCAATGGGAATAGAATCTCAAAATTAGTTGGCACCCATCACAAAGACAATCCAGTTGAATATTGATAAACATTTTGTCCAAGTTGTGGGTTGATTGGATTTCCCTCATCGTCTTTTGTTTCAAATTTGTACTAAATTAAAGAATAACTTAAATTTGTTTTCAATTCTATGCTAAAGTACATAATAACATAACATACTATTGTTAGGTTTAATGCACCCAGCAGCTGTTCGAACATTTTTGCAATAATGCCAGGCCTATTAACGTTTCGGATAATTTGTTTTCGGTTTATAAATTTTGTTTAGAGTTAATTATTGTCGTAAGGCATACTTGTTGCATTTTCGCTTGAATTATTAGCATAATTTATTAATTAATAATCAAAAGAAGTGAAATAGACGGTCTAATTCGTGGTATAATTCTTTCTAATTCATAAAATCTTTTTAATAAAATGTTGTTTCATCCCCCATTACATAGAATGATACTTTGTACGATTTAATTGATAAATATTTTTATTAATCGGAAAATTGATGCGTTGTAATTTTTTGAACAACAATTGTCTAACTTGAACCAAGAACTTGATCATAAGTTAATATACAGTAAATCTAAAATAACTTTAACAAAGATCATCCATCCAGCAAATGGATCGTTGTGGCTTTTTTGAAAATTATTTTTGATTAATGATGTTGATTAAATACCTAATTTGAAAATATCACATACGTGATATTTTGACGATGATAGTTTTTGATTATCAAACGAATATTATAACTTTTATTTCTTTTATAAAAAAAAAAGCAAGCGGAAAAAACAAACGATTAATCATCGTTATTCATATAAATGCCAAAATCCATGCTATCGGTCATAATTTTTCTTGCATGTTCCAAAGTTATATTACCACCATAATCATCCCGAATTAGTCTAATTGTTACTTCCGGTACTAAAATTTCATAGATATAATCTGTTGGCTTTAGTGGAAAAGATACACCTTGTGTAAGAATATGAGAAGAAATGAACATTTGAATCAATTTACTAGCAATACTAAATAACCCTTTTGGTCCATAATATCCTGGCTGTAATACAATAATTATAAAGTTAACTAAATAATAAAATATGTAATCGCATCGCAATATATTTATTAAATATATTACCTGAAAGATTTCAAATCTATTCATATATACCATAGGTAGTTCAGCTTTTTTTCCGAGTTCTTCATGAATATAAAAAGCAAATTCTCGATAATAACTTGTAACATCTCCATTGATTATTTCAAAAAGCTCCTTTTTAAAAGTAAAAATGCGTGATGGTAATTGATCAAAATCAATAAATTTCGGATATCCTTTTGATAAACCAATAGGAATAGTCTTTGTTTCTGCACGGTGCATAAAGCAAAATTCTTGTCTATCGCATTCAGTTATACCAATTCCAGCTTGTAAAAACTGTAATTTTTGTTGCAATCTTTCTGAGAGTGTACTAGGTATCGATTCATTACAATAAATACATAAACTTTCACATACACTTATTTTGGATATAGGAGTGGATAAAGTGCAGAAATGGATGAAGATGTGGAAGTTGCAGAAATAGAGGTGTGTGTGGATGTTGTAGAGATAGATGAAGGTGCAGAAGTCAATGAAGGTATAGGAATGGATGAGAATATGGAATTTGATGATGATGTAGGAATAGACGAAGATGTAGAAGCGCCTAATTGAAAAACAAACTCTTTATTTAGTGATTGTTTTTTTGGATTTGATGGTGATGCAGTTTGCAAATCTATACTTGTCAACCAAGTTGCCTTACGTGGGCTGTTAATAAGGTAACGATAATACATTGTCATTCGTAACTGCATTAAATTGTTATATAGTTAGAATTACAAACAATTCTTCTCATAGATTAAAATTAAAATGATCTACCTTAAACTTCTTTATTACTTCAACAGCATTTCCAATCTCTGAGAAGCATACACTTGAATTTGGTAGAATAAATGCATCAAATTCATCAACAACATACATGTTATTGATCAAATGCATACTCAAAAAATGATATTCGCATCCTATCCACATTGATCAAGTTAGCTAATGGTTTTTAATATAATAATCATAAGGGCTTGTATCAACACCTACCATATACTAAAATTGAAAATGATTGTAAACTTGAGGCATTCTTACTATATGCATATTGATATCGAAGTGAAATCATCATTGCTATAATTAATAGAGAACCAAAATCAGTTAAACATCGTATTAAACTTCTAACCAAATTATGTTATACCTTTCAATAATTTCGTCAAATCATCGTTTTTGAAGTTGTTATTGTTAATTAATGCATTACCGACTACTTCGAAGAATCCGACTTCAACATTTGAACCATGTACATTCATATATATAACACCGTCGTGTTTGTCTCCTAATTTTTCACGCTCATTGTCTGTCTTTGAGAAGTTTCGTTGCCGTTTTCGCGTTCCATTTTCAATCTCTCCACTAGTTTATCACATATAAAGAATTCAGTTTCATAACTGGAAATGAAAGCTTTCATCAGAAACTTACGTATCAATCCAGATTGCATCTTCTACATCGTAAAAGATTGTAGATAAAAGATGGTTAACTAACTCATCTCTGTAACGGAATTCACTCGCAGTTTTGTCTTTCAAAACACTACGATTACGGAGGAATTGATGAGTCCTGATATAAAAAAAAAATTTAATTGTGTATGACATGATATTCATGGTAAACCATCACAAAACCTACATCCGTTTATATAAGTCTTGGCACCAAAATAACTCGTAATTACTTCGGTGCTGGTATTCGTTAGATGGTTGCTTCATAAAAGCCGTAAAAAGTTCATTAAAATCAATATAGAATGTAGTATTGTCCATCTTTTCTTCAAGAATTTTAAGATAGTCATCGACTTGTTTTTTCAATGTACATTTATTCCAAGATTCCTGAATTGTTTCTTGTCTCACAGATTTTTCGGCCTTATCGTTATTATAGTATGTTTGTTAAATCAATGCTCATAATTCCAATATAAATATAAAATAAACTTACCTCTATCCATTCATTTTTTAACTTTTGCATTTGTCCAGTTGATAATACCGTAAAGAGTTTTTTAAAATAAGGAAATTCGACATCAAAGAGGCAGATGACATTATATCGTTCCAGATGAGATTTGGTTTCCAAATTTGCCAGAATCTGATCAAATTCATCCTTATTTTTAGTAAGCGATACAGAAAGTAGAATTAACGATATAGTATAAAGTAGAAACTAAGCTTGCCTCAACTTTTGGAGTATTGAATATGTTCAACGTAACCTGATCTTCGTCTTCTGAACTGTCAAAATCTTCCTCATCCGTTGATACTGTAATAGTATTAAAAAATTTTAACATTATGTTCACGTTATTAGGTATGTTTGCGCTTTCATTGACTGAAAGATCATATTTCTGACAAGTGCATTACGGTCATTGAAATAATAAACATACTTGATTGTCTCCGCTTTTTGTTGGTTGATTGTTCTACTTCTTTGTTCATAAACATGCGCTGTTTACTGTTCGCAATGCTCTTCTCCTTATTGGAGGATCTTAGTTGAATAAAGCTATGTCGAGCCTAATGCGATTTTCATATTTTTGAAATCAGAATACAAAATGTTACATAAGACCCAAAAATAACATACCATCTCTATCTTCTCTTTATCCTTAGTTCTGCGCAATCTTTTAGTTTTATTTATTTTACTTGACATTCTGTTTGCAGGAAAAGCAATTTAGGCTTTAGTGTTTAAGACTGACTTTGACGCGTCGCGTCTTTTAGTATTCTTTTCCGTGATCAGCAAATACCACGTGACGGTAAGATTTGTATTCCACAAAGTTTTTCACAATAACGTGATTTTTTGACCGGCATTATAGAAACTTGGCCGAAATTAATCATGTTACAAATAACGTGACAAATAGGATATTTCACATTCAACCTGTTATTGAGATACAAAATGTAAGTCTCCTTCCTGAATGTGTATCTCCACAGTTTTTATGTGTAGAGAACGTTTACGGCTGGCCAGTTCGCTGGACTTGTGAAGCCGGGTTTAAATGGACCCTAGTTCGTACATGCCTGTTGCAAATTCTACAGACCGTAGAACGTTTACGGCTGGCCAGTTCGCTGGACTTGTGAAGCCGGGTTTAAATGGACCCTAGTTCGCGCACAGGCGGTTGCACTTCGAAGAGAAACGTTTATTTATCACATAATCTCACTCTTTATTATTTTCATTCATGTTGTACTTAATATTTACATTATTTAATTTGAAGTATAAGGCTCGATATGTCAAAAGCCTAGAAGATTGTAGACGAAACTTTATTATTACCATTGAGGCCAGCTAAGTAATAACATTATGTGGAGTATGCGAAATATATGACATTCTTTTAAGGGAGGAAGGGAATACGCCATAAATGCGAGTCGCTGCGAAAATTTATTTCTCTGTTTTCGCATATTTCTACACTATTTATTTTTTTCTACCTATATCACTATTATTGCTAACTATGAGATTCTCACACCCCAAAGTCATATACATTGTAAATAGTATTTTTCATCTATCTATATCATTCCACCCCACAGACCAATTCCGCAAGTGAATTCCGGAAATTAGCAGCGAGGCAAAAAAAAAATAAGACAAGGTGAGGTTTCCGATTCACATTCGTTTTCATAATATTCCACAACACCTCATGACCAATAAATTTGTTGCTTAGTACAATACTGCGCCAAATTTTCGGCGAAGATCAAAAATGCCGATATATAGAAGGAAAGTAATGTTCGTATTGTTTTGTGAACATCTATAGAGCCGGAAATTGATTAACGTTGTGGTTACGTCGTTTGAATGATAATCTTAATGATGTAAATAATTATTTGATTATTTTTTCGTTTTATTTGCATAAGGCAGATAAAAGGATTCACTAACAGGGACATCACCTTTTTATATAATTCACAGAATCGATTTTGTTATACGCTTTTGCGTGAAATTAAATCTGATCAACGGCTTCTTCTTAATTTAATAATAAAAGAATTTAACGCCATATTTAAATATCATCCAAGGGTCCCTTTTTAATAATAATACATGTAATAATTTTGAGAATATTCGAGAAATTATTTTGCACGATTACTTATTCTTGTGATACGTGTGAAGTATGTCGATAAAGTTACAATAAAACTTGATCGAAAAAAATGTATTAGCATGCAAGCTTCCCACAATCCTTCCATTATTAATTACGTCTTTGAATACGAGAAAAAATTACATAATACAGGTCAAAACTGCTACATGATAACGCTATTCAGACTAGTTCTTTGAAATGATAAAAATTGCCATTATACTACCTCTCCTTTAATGATATTTTCTGCATAGAGGATAGAATTGTGAACGAGATTTTCTGTAGATGTTTCACGCCCTCCTTTACTATGCTGAAGATTAATTCTAAGTGTAAATCGGGTTTACTAGCAATTAATAACGTCTGCACGTTCAGGACTCACTTTCGATAGCGCCTTCCAGAGTGGAATGAATTGCCAGAAACATGACTAGGTGTTTGAGACTTTGATGCTCTTTCTAGTTATCTTGTGTCTATCTTTTTTTGACTAATTCACCTCAGTTTTAGGTGAATTTCTGGACCAATTTCAGAGAAATCGCCTGAAGAATTAGAGACATGAGTTAAAAAAAAAGTTGCAGTCTCAGAAATTTCCAGTCACGTGAGTGCGGGACTTTGGTCAACATGTTTGCTTGTAGAAAATTTCACTCATAAACCTGAAATTTTTCCAAATTATCCGTTCTTTTATTATTTTGACAAATAAATGAGACTTCATCAGCTCCAGCTTAAAATTTCTTCCCGCTTAGCATAAATAGAATTCTTTTTAGCCTTTCTTATTTTTTGAAATATCCTATTTTACATCAATTTCAGTATAAACTATTCTAAACACCTTTCAGACCCTTTATTAATAACTTTAATTGATTTTCTGAAACAGATTCAAGTATAATTCTTATACAAATTTTTGCATTCCTATCTGGTTATTTTTCTAGAATAAACCATTTGAATAGAAATATCATTTTGAAAGAAATGCATAGCTGATACAATCAATTCTCTATAAATGCATTTTCTATAAATACATATTCTTTATAAATGCATTTTTTTATCTAATTCAACTTGGACTTTAGTATTAAATACACGTTTTTTTTATATATATACTCTCTGTAAATGCATTTTTTATAAAAAATTTTATATAGTTAACTTATAAATTTTTTGTATTACCTTAATTTTAGGTTAATATTATATAGATTTATATATATTCTATAAATATATATCTTCTTTAAATGCACCTTATATCTAATCCTAAGGGTATGTATTTATAAAGAGTTGACTGTACTATTATTTTGATAACTATAGAATAATTTTAACAAATTATTTGCAAAATGAAATATTAGTTAAATATGACCTTAGTTATATGAATATAAAATTTAGTATCATGTGATAAAAATAATAAATTCTCTTAAGAATTATTGCATTTACTAGTCATATTCTAATTATAATCTAAGTATAGTTGATTAATTAAGTAATTTTAAAGCTTTCCTTCTATTTTCTTTACTTTATTTTATCAATAATCCTTTCTTATATATATTATTAAAAAAAAAAATTTTTTTCTTTTTCTTTGATAATTTAAAACTGATAACATTAATTTTTTATTTTGCTTAAATTAAATTATAATACAGTTAAATATATCAATAGGTAACACTTTTGATATCAGTTTTTTTTAAAAAAAAAAAATCATTTTACATCTGCTTAAGATAAGATTTCAATTTCATAATTTAGTTTAATTTTAGTGTTTTCATCTAAGATATCTTTATAAATTTTCTCTAATTTTATAATTTTAATATTATCTAATATTCTTCTTAATGATTTACTTTAACTTTATATTTTTAACTTTAATCTTAACAAATTTTTTTAAGTTTAAAAATTTACCATTTCTTTTAAACTTACTAATTTTAATTAGAAGCTTATAATTCAATTCTTTTAATAAATCAATAAATTATATATTTAATAATAATTTTATATAAAAAATAAAATATTATATAATATAACAAATTATCATATTAATTCTTTTTACAAAATAGATAATTTTTTATTAATACAAAAAGTAATTTATTATTATTAAAGTTTTAATTCAAATTGTTCTAATTTAAATTAATTTGAATTAATATTTAAATTCTTTTTCTAATATAATTATACTAATAATACTAACAATAAATAATTCTAATAATATTAATAATAATACTAATACTAATAATTTTTGCTTTTTTTATTTTTTCTAACATAATTATACTAATAATACTAATAATACAAATATATAAAATATACTAACTGTAATTATTTTTACTAATTATTTTTGTTTTTTCTTTACATATTCTTTTTTTGTTTCTTTCTAAATATTATATTTTTAATATATTTTATAATTCTTTTTTTTATATTTTAAACAATAAAGAATCACAATAATAATGTATAATTATCTGTTTATACCTTATGAACTATTTGTATTTATAATTAAAAATTTAAAAATTATTCAAAAATATAATATATAAATAATGTATATGAGTTAAATAAATAAAGCATAATTTATAATTAAATAAAATAATGTGTAGAAATTTTAAAATATTTTAGTGTTTAAGTATATAATATTTTATAATTTTATACTTTATTATAAAATATTACAATAAATTATTATGTTATAAAATTACAATATATTATGTTTTCATATAATATTATAAAATATTTATCATAAAGATACAAATTATTATACTATAAAGGTATAAAATATTATATTTACAAAATATTTCAAAAGTGTTGTAATTTTACAAAATATTATAAAAATATAAAATTACAATATATTATATTATAAAATTATAAAATATTATACTTACAAAATCTTTTAAAGATCCTATAATTTTATAAAATATTATAAAAATGTAAAATTATAATTTGCTAATACTATATAATTAGAGTAAATAAAAAACTATTTAACAGATTTAAATAAGTTTATATTTAAGTATAATCAAAAATTAGATAATAATAATAATTATGATACAAAATTAAAATTTTAGAATTAATTAGTAATATTATTAGTTATCTTAATTAGAAGTATAACATTTATAAATATTTTAAATTTTTGATCATTATATTACTCTTAAAATAAGTAAAATTAATTTTATACTTTTTTAACTAATTCAGAATTACAAATAAATAAGATTAGTAAAAGTATTTTTTAAATAGCTTTTTCTTGATTTAATCTTTTAAAATGTCTTCTTTTTGTTAATCAATACATTAAATAAAAATTTTGAGTTTTCAACTGATAAAGAATTTTAAAAAATATTTGAAATATATAAATTTTTAAAAAAAATATTAAAGTAATATATTTACATAAATACAAGTTTAGTTTTACTTATTTATAATCTCTGAATTTTTCACAACAAGATTTTCTTGAAATTATATATTATTTTAAAATAAGAGAAATTACTTTAGCTATTTAATATATATTATATCTATATATTAAAGATAGTATTTAACAAAGATTATTTAAGTAAAAATTATAAAAAAAAATTTTCTATACCATAAATAATATATTTAATATAAAAAAAATATTTTATTTAATTTTTTGAATATAAAGATTATTATAGTTACATATATAATTCAAGTTGTAGCTATAAAAAAATTTATTTAT